CACTCACCGAAAGGTGTGCAACACTGCTATGGCAGTGGGGCTAGAAATCAACGCCAAGGGGACGAAGATGATGATGCCCCCCACTGCGACCGTCAGCCAGACGATACTAGGGGATGGTATCACAACAGACCAGGTGGACAATTTCCAGTGCTTTGGAAGTCTGCCGACGATGACGACAGTGATCCTAAAGTGAATCGGCATAACGGAATAGTGGCAGCAAATTATGGCAAGGTGTATGGCATATAAAAGGATCGGACTATGAGTAGGGACACAGAGATCAAAATTCTGAAAGCAGCCGTACTCGCCGTGCTCATATATTCAAAACTTCAGTTTTCCCGAACGACTGTTATAAATATTACAATGCAAGAACTTCTACGGGTGAACACTAAGCAAGTGAATGAAAAAACCGTTCAACCAGCTCCTCGCGTTGATCCTGAAAATACAGCATTCTTCAATGAATAAGGTCAAAACTGTCAATATCTGGGCTTTGCCGATGCCAGCGCATATTTGTGGTATTCGAAAATGGTATCAGATTTGCCTCGATGATCTTGATCGGATGGTCAGAGTATTACATCGACGGATTTCAGCAGGCACCGTACGAGATCATCTGTAGCCAGACTATATCTACTAGCAGGAAACCGCGGCCGCGGCTGACAGAACCTTGCAGATCTCGGCATAACAGAAGAGGAAGCCCCTAGCGCAGAGCTTAAGATAACAGATTCACCTTCACATCGAGCCCCAACAGAAACAGATAAACGATGCAGTCGCTAAGGCTTTGTGGGAGCGATTCCATGGTAAAAGGTACTACATCCAAGCTTGATGAATGGAGCGAGAAAGCTGTTCCTGATTAATACTCTGATGCCCTTGCGCAAGATGAAATCGACCTGGCTTGAAGACGGCGGATTGTTCCCGAAAGCAGAAGAATTTGCAATGGCAATGCGAAATGAAGTGGTGTTTACGCACAACTGTAGGAAATTCATCATGAAGGATAACTTCTCAGATGAATGCAGTATGTGGGCAGTACCACAGAATCGATCCTACATATTGCCACAGGTGGTTCCGTTCTGAAACGGGGTACCTCAAACGACACAATGGCGTCGATAAGAGTACGCACTGAGGTTTAATCTCAGAAATGACGACGAACTATCGATGCCGTCTAACGAGTGTGCTTGAAGATCACCAACGTACCGTCTACTTTTACAACCAGCTATAGTCACCGATCGTACCGTTAATTACAACATTCAAATATACAACTTTAGCTCGCAATAACAAGACGGCAGAGATTATGAATGTTGCTCTTTCACTAAACGAAAATGTGCGGGAAGCATGGATGAAGAAAGAATAAAATACCGAAACCTGCGTATCGATCTGATGCAGATATGCCTGTTAAAGACTAGGCGAATAACAGCAGTGGTCATCTCTGCATGGCTTCATTCAGAAATCAACGAGTACCAGACCACCGGGACCGCCAATAAGTGTATTAAAGCCATT